CAAGTGCTGCTCATGCTTGCTGTGGCTTCGAGTGTGACTCATAACTTCTGTCGACCAGATTGAATGCAAACATAAAAAGTTTCCAACAGTTGGTCGAGAGGCAAAGAGACAAAGTCAATCTAACAATGCCATCTTTTAGTATGTTTGACTATCAGCTCGTTCAAATATGAGCGCTTTTTGCTGCAAAGCAAACAGCAAATAGTGAGCTCACAAATAAAAGAACAAAAAAAAAAAAGAAAAAATAAAAAAGCTGTTGCAGTTAAAATGTTTATTTTTGCGAAAGTAGTGCTCGGCTGTCTCCATGGCATACTCGACTGCCAATTATCCTTTATGTGGCATGCACACGTCACGCTCCATAAAATTGAAATGAAATACTAAATTTGTGCCGTTATTGTGCTGATTGCCATGAACTGCAATTGCACATGTGACGCAATATTCTGGAGGGGCGCAGCGCGTGGCCCAGCTCCCGTCTATAAACATAACGCAAAGTGTACTAAGCCAAAGCATAAGCTCAAAAAAATATGAGTGCAGAAACAATGCAATACAAATGCCAAAAAAAATAATGGGAGAAAGAGAAGAAATAAAAAAGAAATACAGACGCTGCGTGGCCTGCTGCTAGGTCTGCTGACCCAATAAAGTCTGTGTGCTGGGTTCCGGGTGCTGTGGCTGGGCAGGCCATGCTCGTATTTTTGCAGTTGAATCAATTTTTCATTTCGTGGCAGGATGGCGACGCCACGCCGTGTCCTGGCAATATGCTCTATCTCTCTCTCTCTTTCTCTCTGACTGGGCGCAGACAACGTAATGGCTTAAATATAATGGCGGTCACAATCAAAAGCGCAAACAATACAAAAGAAAACATAAATATGCAGCAAGTGGCCGTAAAGTCATGTGGCAGAGGCAGCAGCTGCTGCCACGACTCCTGCTGCCAGTGCAGGAGGCAGCGCTGCAACTAGCAAAGGCGAGAGTGTCAGCTCTTAAGCTGTCGGATTGTCAGATTCCCAAATTGTCGAATTGGCGAAACAAATGCCACAAGCTCAACTATACGTTTCCCCCATCTACATTTCTCTCCATCTCTATCTAGTCCCGTAAACTGAGAACTGTTAGCTGAGAGCTGAGTACTGAGAACTGCTCATTCGCCGCTCGAGGCGTCAAAAAACAAGAGCTGCATTAAGTTGAGCCACTGCCACTGCCACTGCCATTGCTTTCAGCCCGTCGAACAGAGCGCGGCTTGATGCCAACGCCAATTGTGGCCAACAGAAGAAAAAGATAAAAAATAAATAAATCCAATGCAAGGAATGTGGTGGAGCCCAGGAATTTTGGCTTCTCATTGTCTGAAACTGTCTGCATTTCGGCTGACAGCTTAGTCAAAATACGTCAATCAAAGTGAACCAAAGCGTAGAGCAAAACAAATAAAATCAAATACTCGATGGCGCGTTAGCTTCAGCCCGTGTCTAGGCCATGAATTGAAGAAGCTTTGCCGAATATTTCAGATATTTTGCATGCAAATTAAATGCGCATTAGCACAGCAGCAGCAGCAGCAGCATCTGCAGTAGACTTAAACTTAAATGCCAAACTGCTTATGCAAAGTCCAAATGGGTTGAGCCGATTATATTATTTTATTTTAAAGGATTTTCTCAATTTACATAGGCATAAAGCACAATTTTAATGTTGAAGTCAAGGCAACCGACGAACCGGTTCGAGCTCATTTTATTTATTCCAATTCAGATTTTTCAATTTAATCCATTTGTCTAGAAACATGTGAACTCTTTAGAGAGATAGACGATAGATAGTAAAATTTTTATTTTGTTGAATATTTGAATAGATGTGGAATGCCTTTCTATTATATTTACATTAAGGAGGTTTAAATGTTTTCTGTATGAAACCCAAAATTAAACAATTTAAAGTTTTTATGAAAATATAATAATAATAATAATAAAATTCACATGATTAAAGATATTCAATATTTGTATAATTTTATGATAATAATTGAAAGTAATTAAAAACTTTTAAACAAAAATAAATAAATAAAAAAAATTAATAGAAATTTTTTTAAATTTTTCCTGGGATTTCCTGTCTTAAATAAAAATTGTTAAATATCTTTGCAAAAAAATGCGCAACAAAATTTAAACAGCTTTTTAAAAGTTTTTTTTTATTATTAACTTGTAATGAACTTGTTTATCAGCATTGAAATGGAAACTTGATGCGGAGCTAAAAATTTTATACGATAAATACCCTTTACTCAGTGTATAAACGAAGTGAAAGTATTACGTTTCTTTTGTTGAAATAGCTGCAGCAATATGAAGAGGATGAGGCAGACATAGATAATATATTAATACTTTATAGAAATCTAAAACTGATATCTGTTCTTCTCTGGCGCACTCTCCTTAACGTGATATTGTCTTAAATTGATATAAGTGTTATATATTTCAACTGATTTAGGACTAGACTTGAATACATCAATTAGTTTAACATTCAAATCCTTGAACATTAAATACATCGTTCTATCATTTATAAAAATATATCTTGAACATTATATAAATACAAGTAAAAAATTGTGAGCTTCAGCTCTGCAAGGGCTGGCAAGGGTATCGTCTGGCCAAGCACTGCCGGCTAAAGAACTTTTACAACTTTTAGTTTTCACTAGACAATGAAAAACATTTCAACTACCAGATTCTATTGAGTTCCTTAGTAATTATGCACATATTTAAGCAAAACTAAATGCATCACTTTTAATGAATATTGTGCTGCAATATGCTGCACACGAGCCAAGCACAAAAGGCAATGGCTGCTGTGAGCAGTTCGTGTAAGCCCATAGAACCATAGAATAGAACCGCTTTAAAAACATAAAGTTATGCTCGCAGCAAACAATTTGTTCGCATTTTGCTGGTGGTGCAAACTTTTCGCCAGTGCACAGCAGACGGAAACGCTGCGTATACGCAATTTATCATATTTCATATACTTTTAACGTGCGGCACTTCAAAGCGTTTGCCTTTTATGTGACATTTTGCTAGCACATTTCTAGTAATTATTTTCTGCAATGCAGCAGCCCATCCACAAAGGCGCCACGTTACCGCTGCCAGCGGTGTGGTGTGGTGTGGTGGGGGAGGTGGTGCGACGGGTGGGCGAAACAAAACACAAAACAGACGCCGCAACGCATTTGGCGTTGGCCATGTGCCAAAACGAGAAACTATGCGCATGTAAAATGCAATAAAAAGTGATAAATATAAGCATATAAGCATCGAAGGTGCCGACATGTGGCCACGCCTCCAATGCCCCCAAGCAGCAACAGCAGCAGCAGCCACTCGACTAAATTGAAGGTGTCAAAGAGCCACAAGCACACACACAAACACACGCACACGGCTGAGCTGGCCTGTACGTGTGCTAATATATCATTGGGCCAAATAGTTGCGTGCCCGCATTCAAATTGTGTGAGCTTTGAATAAAATTTATTTGGCAACTTGAGGCACGTTGCGACTGTCAGCCAGTCGAGCAGCCTCTGGCTAATCAGTTGACATTTTGAAGCGATTTTAATTTTAAGTCGCTGTCAAAGGTCACAGCAAGCAGTTAAAGATAGCAACAGTAAGAGAGCGAGTGAGAGAGAGAGAGACAGTCAGACTGCCATCCAGACAGAGTCGCATATGCAGAACTTTTAAGGCCACGCAAAGAGTTCAAAAGGTCCTTTCGCTGGCCCAGGCCGAGGCGTGCGTGCTGCCCGGCCATTGCCATTGTTAGCAACAAGAGCTAATTGTTCAAGTTATTGTTATCAGCCATGAACAATCTAACAATCCGTTTCATGTCCGCCGGGTCAAGACATGCATATGTTTAATTCAATTAGGGACGTGATGATAATCTCTCCTTGATACGTGCCCCTCCAAATCGCAGAGCACAAAACTTTCCCAGCGATTGATTTATGTGTATATGGAAAATGTAAACTTAGCACTAAACAAATTTAGTTTAGCCAACGAGATGAATTCAGGCAAATAATTGAGTAGATTTTAATGGATTAATCTGGCTGAATTTTGTATATTATTTTAGTTAGCTATTTAGCTTAAGTGGGGTCAACATTCCTCTTCGAATATTGCAGCAGAAGCTGTCAGCCTTATCGATGTAGACAAATTAGATGAGATTATCGCAGAGACTGTCGTCTCTTATAGAACTGGATTTATTTATTTACTTTTTATATTCCCCAAGTTTTCTTTCGTATTCTTTGAGCTTGTTCTTTGACATATTCTCTAAACGTTCATCTTGATAAGGAAAGTCAGTGAGTCTGCTTGCGACTCTCTCAAATTGCAATCTTGTTCGTGCTAGACATGAATATTCTGCTTCGTGTGATTAATTTTAATTCTTTTATCATCGGTTTTAATTTTTAATTTATCCAATTTCTTTTCACCTATTTAAGACGCTTAAACTTCCAAATTAAAGGCCGATTTCAGTGACAAACCCATATTTAATATATTAAAAAGTTTGCCATTAATTTTGCCCCTCCTCCTGCCCCCGGCCTCAACGAAAGTTGAACAGAGAATTAGGCAGCGGCAATTTTTGGGCAAATCCGTACCCTTATCATTCTCGGGCGCTAAAGTTTGGCACCTACAAAAGTCGCATACGGCGCCACATTTATAACAGAAGGTTCTGTACACGACCTGAGCTGAAATTAATCCAGCTAAACAGGTAAATACACACAAAGTGCGAACACCCACACACAGACAACGGCTGGTGCCCAAACGAAACCAAAAACCAATCCCTGTCCCCAGACAAGCGCCATGTCAGCCGTGGGGCAAGTGGTTTGGCGTAACGCCAGCGAGCGCTTAAAGCATTCATTATGCAGCCGTGGATTTATGAGTGGCTGTTTAGGTACGCAAGCTTAACAGGTCTTGTGGCATGCCAATTGTCGTTGCACTTAGCGTGCTTGATACGCAACGCGACTGTATTAATGAGTTTTTCAATTTGCATTGCAGCAACAACACTCTGTACGACATGGCTCAGGCCTAAGCTGGGCCGCACACACGCACACACACACACACACACACACACACAAGCGAGAAGGAGCATGTTGCATCTGAGGCTGTTCGATAGCTCGTTCTATTATACGCTGGCCTCCGTGTCGTCGGGCATGCTGCCACCCCCTCAGGCGACCAATGGCAGCCAGTTGACGCTGAATGGCACAACAGTCGCGGCGCCCGGTGCGGAGGCTACAGTTAATCTGACATATTTTACACCTGCGAACTCACACGTGATGCTGGCGCCGACGCCAACGACCGCCAGTGCCGCCCAGACGACAGCGGCGACAATGGCAGCGGCAGCAACAACAACAGCAGCAACAGCAACAACAGCAGTAGCAGCAGCAGCGACAACAACATCGCCCGGCAGCGATTTCCAGGCAGCAGCAGCAGCAGCAGCCGGCGACAACGCGACGTCGCCATATGCGGGCGAATTGGACAACTTGAATTCGTTCTACTTTTACGAGGTGGGTAGCCAACAAATGTACATATACACACATACATATACATATATTTATACATATATATAAATATTAGAAATATCTTGGAGCTCCGACTCTTGGCATTGTCTTCTGAGTCAGCTCATCTGCGCTGAGCGCAGTCAGCTAATTTATGCATTGAAAACCAGGACAAGCTGCAATAGGGCTGCCCAGAATCATTCTATATTAACTTTTTGTTTCATTCAATTGATTTGGCAAAACAGCTCTACGAGGGTGGGTTAAAAAGAATGAGCTAGATGTAGAGCTAGAAATAGAAAATTTAAAATATTTAATACTTAAATGAAATGAATATTAAAAGTTTTAATGTTTAATAGAAGGCACTGAATAAAAAAATATTTTGTAGCATTTAAAAAAAAAAAACATATTAATTTATTATATATTTATATTAATTTATTTATATTTATATGTTAATTCTTTTTTTTTTTTAATTTTTCACAAAGTGAATAAGTCAACTTCAAATATCTAGATTTTTGAGAGTGTAAAATAATATATTTCGTTTGAAAACTTTTTGTGGTGAAGCATAAATTATGTTAGTTTATAAAAAAAAAAAAAAAAACAAAATAATACATTAAAAAAAATGTTGGTTGATAAAAAAATAAATCAATAAACAACAAAATAACTAGAGCTGCTCAAACATACATATAGCCATATAGAAATATAAGAAAGAGTATTCATAACCGAGTAGATAAAATATAATATACATTGTGTCATACATAACCAAATTATTTTATTTTTCTGTCTTATTTTATTTCATTTTATTTTATTTTAATAAGACTTTTTACTGTTCATTTGAAGCTTCCATTTCGAAATGTCTCTTACTGATCTTAGCTCATAGATATATTAACTCATATATGCTTATGTAGTGTTCAATCCACCCTCGCATTTAGAATGCATGTGAATGACTTTGGCTACAAACTGCAAAGTTTTCTTATTCGCTTGCCGCAAAATCAAACTGAACAAAACAGAACAAAACTGAGCAGAGCAGAGCTAAACATTGGCAGACAAAACTCTTGGCGCTCTTGGCCGGGGTCACAGTCGGCAGCTGTTACCATGTTTTTGTTTTGGTAGAAATTTGAATTTTGCGCAAGTGGAACGCGACACGAAGCGCTCTCTGGGACAGAAAGACAACGCACAATAATAAGGCAGACTGTTGGCGAATGTCATTTGTTTCGCAGCTGCAAATTAGAAATGAAATCGCAAGAGGAGCCACCGAATGCGGGGGCTATTGCTCTCTCTCTCTCGCGGTTAATTTGCATGGCTGGCGGGCGTGGCTTATCAATTGGGCAATCAATCAGCGGTCGCAAGTCGTGACAACAACTTCGATTAAACTAAACTTCCGTTTTTTCTTGCTATTGCCATAAAAGCCGAAGCTGGGGGCGGGACAGGGCGGTGCGAGCTGAGGCAAATGCCGCCAAGTGTGGCACGCATGCAACGTGTAATGAAATCTCCACACGCGCCATCGTATAAATCACGCCAACGAGCTGCCATTGTTAAAGCGGAAATAGCCTTAAACCCAAGACGTTCCCCGTGTGTCCCCGCGCCCCGACCCGTCAACCAATCTGTGCTGCCAATCGCTCAAAGTGCTTGTGTGTGTGTGTGTGTATGTGTTTGCCATAAATTTGGATCTATTTAAATGAGCAGCACAAAAAGTAAAAAGCCAAATTCCAACACATATATACACTGCCAGCATATGGCTGACAAAGAGTAGAGCTAAATCCTCAACCTTGCCCCGCTCGTCTGCCCGGCTAACAATGACAAAGTTGTAAAAAGCAAAATCGAGAAAAAAGCAATGGGGAATCAAAGCAGGCGTAGGCTACAAATGCCAACAGCTTATTGATTCGAGTGCTAGTTTTTATGTGCGCCCATCGCAGTATCCCTATAAAGAAAAGGATCGCAAGGGTAAGCATATAATTCATCTTCGTCTCGACTGGACGAAACATAAGTTTGCCCCTTAATATTTGCGACATATTGACAGTCCAAATGTTTTACATATAAACCAAATATTTTTCTTTTTCTTTTTCTATTGGTTTAGGCAAATCACGCAAATGGCTTCCCGACTTGACTCGTTGATAGATGTTAATATCTGTTTGCTTAGAGCAGCTTTTTTCGCTCTATTTGCATTCGCTAAAAATAACAATATTGAATTTCATATATTCCATGGTCAGAGCCAGAGACAGCCAAAAATGTAAAATAAATAATCCTCCTATTAATAAATCAGTTGCCTAGACATCTCAGCGTCGCAATTTCAACTCCTTAGCCATTCTCGACTGCTGAACAAAAAGGGATACGAAGGGCTTAGCCAACGGTGTCATATTTCAGTCCGGCTTAGTTGGGGCTGCTGTGAAATTTGAATAGTTTCGATGTGAACTCGACTTGAGCGATGTGACGAATGCAAATAAATGAACAAACTAAATGAAATGAACTGGAATGAAATGAAGTGATTTGTTATGCAGTGAAAGCATACGCAAGTAGTCTAAATACTTAAGAGATTAAGTAAGTAGAATTGATAATGTAACACATATATAATTTATTACGTATACGCCACGTGGACGAGCTTAAGAGTGTGTAATCAATATTGATAGAGCAATAAGTAAAATGTATATTTCACTTACATACATACATACATTTCAAAAATCATATGCCACGTGAGCTCTGCTCAAATTTAAATAGCTTAAGCATTAGATGACAGTAAAGTATTTCAAATCTTGATTAAATCAACAGCATAACCTGGGCAGAGCCCTATAGAGTGTGGCGCTGCATTAAAGCTCGTCAACACGCAGTCCATGCTCACACATTGGCAAGGCCATGCCCTGGGGACTAATCTTGGCACATTGAGCTGTCGATGGCTCTGACACAGATATGCCAATTACAGCTGCATCACACTCTGCACGCGGCGCCCGAAAGGTTAGACAAAGTCAAATATGACAGCTCATGCCAAATCGAGCAGCGAGCAGCCAATGCGGACGACCATGGCCAGCTCGAACGGATTGCAGTGTATCTGGTATCTGCGTCTATCCCAGCTCTAACCGGGAGCTTTGCCCCTTTGCTGGGCTGCTGGGCTTCTGGGCTATAGGAATGGGCAGCAATTTCGTTTCATGTGCAAGCAGCTTTGCCTTTGCTAGTTGCTGGATTTTTCCACATGCTTTCAGGCATCCCCCCAATCGCACACACACAAACACACACACACACTCGCACGATTAGCCGGGAGCAAAAACAAAAACATTGCGTAATTTTATGTATGTTTGCTAGCAAAATCGAAGCATATTATGCAGCCGCACACGCAGCTACTCGCTTTGTTTGTCAGCTGAACTCCAGAAATGTGCTCCTCCAGCTACTTTGCCAGCTCATGTCCGTTCTATTTGCTATAGCTGCACGACCACACACGTCATTCCCATTTCCTTGGCTTGGCTTTAAACATTAAATTCCAGCAATTTGGCCCTTTGTTTCATTCACTCAGACAAAAATGTCCGCTGTCCGCTATCCGGTGGCCAAGGACTCAAAGCCGTCTGGCATGTGGGTGAGTGAGTGGCGCTAATGACCCTGGTAGCCGTTACTCAATATACCTTGAGCCTGCTGAACCTTCTCGGCGTCACCCGTCGCTCGTCTCAAGGCCTCCTCCTAGCACTTGTTTTTCATAATCCACATTCACTTTATTTTTAGCCCAGCCCAGCGACGACGTCCTGTCGTGGTGCGTATGTGTGCTTATTATATGTGATTATTATATATATTTATTTGTAAGCATTCAATAGCTACAACAATAGCGACCTTCGGCCCATGTGGCCATCAAAAGGCAACATTAATTGAAGACTTTGTCGGGCATCGCGCACAATAGGAAATGTATGAGATTTCTCCAAATGTTAACTTGGTTAAATATAGCGCCATTGCCTAAGCCAAGTCAGATTTTGCAAGGCCTTAGCTGTTTGAACAAAATTGACAATGCTTTAACAATTATTTTATCTTTATTCTTTTGTTGGTATAAAATACATGCTGTTTAAGTCCTAAAAATGTTACTTTAATTAGTATTGTCTTACCTTTTTATGAAGCATGTAAATACTTGCAGATTTTCTTACATTATTTTAATATAAGATTCTGTGTAATCAAGCTATTCACTCTTGATCATTTTATTTTTAGTTTTATACTTTCATCAGTATACAGAATTATCTGTTTATGGAGTATAAAAGTCTTACTTTAATTTTTATAATTTGATCAAAATACAGCTTTAACTTTTATACAATTTTCTTATAATTATTTTTTTTTTCTTTTTTTTAAATTTAAAGAATTGAATTTTTGCTAATTACTGATAACTGTATTTAATTTTTTTCTTTAGCTCTTTATAGAATATTTAAGTCTAGAAGATTTTATTTTTATTTTTAATCTTTAATCACAAAACCTTTTTATTATTTATCATTTACTCCTGAAAGTATTCTGTTTAATTTTATTCATTTATCGGCAAACGTTTTATGATGTATAAAGGTAATATTAAAAGTAAAAGTGTATTTTCATTTATATTATTTTGGGTTTTTATAACAAAATGTTAAGACTTTAAATTTTTATATTTCATTTTATTCTTTAAAGAAAACGCCGTGTCAGCTGCTGACAGAGAACGTAAAGTCTTAAAAATTTTATTTTCAATTTGATTGTTTCTTCAGAATTCAGAAATCAAACTTTAAACTGTATTCCAAAGAATCTATTAAATAGATATTTGCAAATAAGTTCTAAATACCACATGTCTGTTAAAGCTGATCCCATATAGAGTCATTCACCGACGAGACCTGCTGCCAGTTGGCGTTAATCTAGCAAGAAAATGTGTCTTAAGCTCGCTTGTCAAGCACAATTAAGCATGCATAGAAAGCATTGCTGAAAACGCAAATGTAAATTATAAATGAGAATTAGACTTGAACGTCTGCATGCGAGATATACATGTATATATATATGTATCGCGTGAGAGAGAGAGAGAGGGGGGGAGG